CAGACCCATTGGGTGACGACTCTCATCAGCCCCTCAACATAGATGCTGTTAGGTGTGAGCTGGCAGTAAATCACACCGTGCAAGTTAGAATTAACTTTTTACTTTTCACCGCCGCACAGCCATCTAAGTCCCCTGGGGTTTCCCCAAGCAATCGGAGACTATTCCTGTGCGTAGCCAACCTTTCCTCCACCCTCTTCATACCTCTTCTGGTTCTGAGAGACAAGCAGGAAGGGGAGCTTGTCGCAGCAGCAGGAGGGAGAACCCCGTGACTCTTCACCAGCCATAGTTGTCAGCTTACAGATTTGAAAATAAGGGACCAGCAGCCTCGAAAATAAGGGATCAGCAGCCAAAATAAGGGATTTTCAGAGCACAGGTATGTTCAACTTCTGAGCCCCTCTGAGCCAAAGGCAGAAAGCCCAGCCAGCAGCCAAACGAAGCCTCAAGCAGTGGTTCCCACAGCGCAGCAACCCGGCAAAGGGGATGCAGCAAGGAAAACCACCATCACCTCTCCGCTGGGAAGCGCTGAGCAAAGGCAAGTCCCCAGGCAATGTGGCCAATTTGATCAATACAAGGCATGCAAGCTCCACCCCCCAGTCGTTCTTAGACTCCTTATTGGGTGAGCAACGCAGCCAAGCAACACAGTTGGAGCCTTCCTCCTCCCTGGCCGGCAGGGAGGGAGGGAGAGGAGCTGCTTCCTTTGAAACCCAGGAAATTTAAGGGACATCATCAATAAGGGACAGCAGCGGGACACGGCGCTGGGATAAGGGAGTTTCCCGCCAAATAAGGGACAGTTGACAGCTATGTCACCAGCCTGACTCATCTCTGCTTCTCGGTCTCCCTCCTCCCCTGCTTCATCTTCTGCCTCTGATTCCGGACTTCTGTCTGCCACAGACTCTCCCAGCTCACTAAGCCCTGTTGCCTTTCCAGCTTCCAAACCTCCTCTTCCAGTCTTCTCCCTCTGGCTGCTCATTGTTGACCCACCACGAATCCCTAAGGCTCTAAGCCTCCTTCCCTGGTGGGGTTCACCAGCTGGATCCTCCCACCATTCTTCTGCGTCCAACCAATCCATGGCACATGAAGTAGCAACCACCAGCTGCTCCAGACATCTTCTAAAGACTAAAGTACCTAGGGGTTGGTTAGGCCTCCACCAAGGGCCCAGGCATCTTTGAAAATCACACCTCTTCAACCCTGGTGCAGAGTGGCTAGGAATCATCTACCTGTCCCTCCATGAGCTCCCTGGCAGTGGCGTAGCGTGGGTTGTCAGCACCCGGGGCAAGGCAAGTAATTTGCGCCCCTAACCCGTGGATTTGCGCCTCCTAACCTGTGGATTTGCGCCCCCTAACCCGTGGATTTGCCCTAACCCCAGATGTTGCGCCCGGTGTGGCCGGCCCCCCCTGCACCCCCCACGCTACGCCACTGCTCCCTGGGACACCCTTTGTGGTCAGGTGAGGAGCACAGGCTCGTCAGGGTGCCTTGGTGGATGCCAAGAACCTCAGGTGCTGGTTTTGACCTTCAAAGCCCTATGTGGCCTAGGACCCACGTACCTACGGGACTGCCTCTCCTGATATGCCCCATGGAGGACCTTAAGGTGGTACCTCAGGTTACATACGCTTCAGGTTACAGACTCCACTAACCCAGAAATAGTACCTTGGGTTAAGAACTTTGCTTCAGGATGAGAACAGAAATCATGCTCCAGTGGCGCAGCGGCAGTGGGAAGCCCCATTTGCTAAAGTGGTGCTTCAGGTTAAGAACAATTTCAGGTTAAGGACGGACCTCTGGAACGAATTAAGTACGTAACCAGAGGTACCACTGTAACAACATTTTGGAGGTCCCAAGTCGCAAGGTGGTTAGATTGGTCTCAACTAGGGCCGGGGCCTTTTCAGTACTGGCCCCAACGTGGTGGAACGCTCTGTCCCAAGAGACTAGGGCCCTGCGGGACTTGACATCTTTCCGCAGGGCCTGCAAGACAGAGCTGTTCCACCTGGCCTTTGGTTTGGACTCAGTCTGACCCTTCTGTTTCCCTCCCCTTATGGTTTTGATCTATGGGCTAATATTAAAATGAGGCTGCATTTTAAATTGCATTTTAACCTGTATTTTAAACTGGTGGTTCCCCCCCCCCCCTATTATGTTTTTACTGTAATTTACTGGCGTTAGCCGCCCTTAGCCCGGCTCTGGCCAGGGAGGGCGGGGTATAAATAAATTTTTTATTATTATTAGATGCCCTGTAGGGTCCCCTCCCCAATCAGTGGGTGGTACTATTAGGAGTGTGAGTGGAGTGCCCCGCGAGGCTTGGAGGGAAAGAAGATGGAGAGAGTGGGGAAGAGCTACAGAAGGAGGAAAAAGGGAGGGTGGGAGGAGGCAAAGGGGAAAGCTGTGAGTGGACGGAGCCAGGCAGACAGATTGATGGAGGAGCCCCAGCCATGATGGCCATGAAGACACTGGCAGAGCGATAGGAAAGCAAACTTTATGAGTTTCTGGTCCACGGTCTTTGGAGGAGCACATACACCTCCTTGTCAAAGGCGCAACGGAGCCTAAATATGCCTCTGCTGAGATCCAGGGTGGTGTAGTGGTTAGATCTGATTTCTTTCCGCAGGTCCTGTAAGACAGAGTTGCTCCTCCTGGCCTTTGGCTTGGAATCAACTTGATCCCCTTCCCCTCTTTTCTTCTGTGATGGAACTCCTATTTGGGGACTTCCCTGGCTTTTTTCTGGCCCACGTAGGACCAGTCTGGATAGTTGGCCTTGGTGAAGACTTGATGTTTTCATCCACAGAAAGTTTTTGATTTGAGTTTCTACTGAAACGAGGCTGCATTTTAATGTTGTATTTTAATCTTGTTTTTAAGTTGTATTTTAATCAATTGTTTTTATACCTGGTGTTAGCCGCCCTGAGCCCGGTCTTGACTGGAGAGGGCGGGGTATAAAATTATTATTATTATTATTATTATTATTATTATTATTATTATATTATTATTATTATTATTATTATTATGCCAGGCGAGGATCTGAGACACGGGTTCAAATCCCCACACCTGGAGTGACCTTGGGCCAGTCACTCGCTGTCAGCCTAACGTACCCCATAGGGCTCTTGTGAGGATAACATGGGGAGGAGGAGAGCTTTGAACTCCTTGGACGAAAAGTGGGATATTTGGTTGATTGGCATCTGTCTGTGTGCCTTCACGGGTAGGTAAAGGGACCCCTGACCACTAGGTCCAGTCGTGACCGACTCTGGGGTTGCGCGCTCACCTTGCTTTATTGGCCGAGGGAGCCGGCGTACAGCTTCTGGGTCATGTGACCAGCATGACTAAGCCGCTTCTGGCAAACCAGAGCAGCGCATGGAAATGCTGTTTACCTTCCCACTGGAGTGGTACCTATTTATCTACTTGCACTTTGACGTGATTTCGAACTGCTAGGTTGGCAGGAGCAGGGACTGAGCAATGCGAGCTCACCCCGTTGCCGGGATTCGAAGGGCCAACCTTCTGATCGGCAAGTCCTAGGCTCTGTGGTTTAACCCACAGCACCACCTGTGTCCCTTACACCTTCACAGGTAAGAATGCAATAAAATAAATAAGTAAACAAACAAGCAAACAAGCTGGGAACATCAGGAATTGAATTTGGAGACTCCAGGACATAATAAACTCTCTTCTGCTTCTGAACTGTGGCCCCCGATCATCGGATCATTACCTTGCCAAGCTCCTCAAGAGTAGAAAGCTCTGATGAAGAAACAGATCAACAAGAGCATGTTGTACCTCATTTATCTCAGGCAAAACAATGGCTTTGTTATGATGAATGACAAAAGCCATAAAACGGTACAATTTTCAGGTAAAAAAAAAAACAAAACCACACATCAAACAGAGAGATTCCTGCTGCTGTTGCCGTTTTAACACACAAATATAATATTACAAAGAAGCTGTGGCTGGCCATGCCGGCCTGGCCTTTTTCTTAGGTACAAAAGTAAAACAAGAATCGAAATTCCAGGAAGGGATTCAATATTATGGGAGTTTCAAAAAGTACATTAATGGCTTTTCGTCCTCCCAGACCTGCGTGTTTCCAGCAAAACTTCCATCCCAGAAGATAAACATGAGTCCCAACATTGTCAGGGTGTGTTTAATTTCAAACCCTGCCACAGAAGGACCAAAACCTCCCATTTAAGCTCTGACTCAGTGGCAAAGATTCAGTCTTCACAGCATCAAATCCGTAATCTGTGTTTGTAGGTGGTCTTGAGTCTGCACCTGTCTCCCCTGTCAATAATCTGCATTGTTGCTTGGAATTGGAATTGGAGCTTTCAATATAAAACGCCCCCAAGAGAGTTTTGCTGAACTTTTAAGACTAAGAGATTTATTATGGCATAGGCGACTTCCAGACATGAAAGCTGGTGTCCGTATCAGCCTGTTACAGTGCAATCTACTAAGAAGCCCCAGTGACTTCAATGGCACTTACTCCCAGGTAAGCGCAGAGAGGATTGGGGCCAGAGTACTTGAGATCCCTCAAAGTTCCCTGTTTTTTTTTGTTTTGCTGGATCAGGAAACTTTTAAAGTCTCCTCCATTTGGAGAGACATTGAAGCTCCATCCCAAATTCAACTCCGATCACTTATAAAAATCTAGCGCTTATGTTACGATCAGCAGCCAGATTTGTAATAGAAATCATTAAAAGTTCCTTATCAGGAGGCATGGTTGACTAATGCATGGAATATGGCTTTATCTGAATGTCTGGTCAGACTTAGAAGTGTAAAAAAGGTAAAGGTAAAGGTACCCCTGCCCATACGGGCCAGTCTTGCCAGACTCTGGGGTTGTGCGCCCATCTCACTCAAGAGGCCGGGGGCCAGCGCTGTCCGGAGACACTTCCGGGTCACGTGGCCAGCGTGACAAGCTGCATCTGGCGAGCCAGAGCCACACACGGAAACGCTGTTTACCTTCCCGCTAGAAAGCGGTCTCTATTTATCTACTTGCACCCGAAGGTGCTTTCGAACTGCTAGGTTGGCAGGCGCTGGGACCGAGCAACGGGAGTGCACCCTGCCGCGGGGATTCGAACCGCCGACCTTTCGATCAGGCAAGCCCTAGGCGCTGAGGCTTTTACCCACAGTGCCACCCGCATCCCTACTTAGAAGTGTAGCCTGGGGCAAAGCTAAATCAAATAGTTTTTATGAGGATCGCTCTTCATTTCTGGATTATATAAATAGGGAGGACAAGGCTGGGTTACACAGAACCATCTTTAAAACTTTACGAGATGGGACTGTTTCTCTGCAATTTGCTTTTCATAGCAATCACGCCATGTGCGGTTCTGTTGTGGTTTACACTGTTATGTGTTGGTTGGTACATACCTTCGTGACAAATCAATTTTTTAAAAAAGAGCCCCTTTTGGATCTCCATCGTTCAGAGGGAGACGTGTTCAAACTCCACCCCAAATTCAAAGGAATTTGGCCCGTGAGAGAGAAGTGAGGGTATTTTCCCCTCCTAGGGTGGGAGGTTGTGCATACAGTTCGTACATGGCCATTAAATAAATGTTTCTATACAATGTACAAAGACACAAGACAGCCTCCTCTAACGGCCACCTTGGGAATGTCCCTCACCAAAGTGACCTAGCAAGCTTTTTCTCCCAGGACTGGGTCTTCAGGACCCTCAGGAGAAGTGGCCTGGCCTGCCACCATTCCTCTGGCGTATCCGGAGAAGGGTGGCAGTGAGGTTCATGGGTCGCCCCACTGCTTCTCGCCTTTGACCCCCTTCACCAATGAGACACCTTGGCGCCAGAGATACTGGCAAAGAAATCAGACTGTACACAGTGACGCCTGCACACCTACAGGCATGGGACCCTACTGGTGCAGGCTCAGGACCTCTTGACAGGTCTGAACTGCCCCCCCTAGGACCGGGGTCCTGTGTCCCCCTTAGCAGCATGATCTATGGGGCAGAGGAAGGCAAGTCCCTCCCCTGCCTCACCCGCAGACGGCTCTCCCCCAGAGTCTCTTCTCCTTCGTTCTCAGAAGACAGACGCGACGAAACCAAAGACACGAGCGTGTTGCGGCAGGGCAGAGGTGGAGACAGCGCAGGGAAGCTTGGAGGGGCTACGTATTCATTCATCTTTTAAAAAGGAAGCCAGCCCTCTGGGTCACTCAAAGGAGACCTTCACTAGGTTGGCTCGCATCTTGGCTTGGTCCACAGCGTCCAGGAGGTTCTTGGCGTCCACGGCCAGAGTGTGCGAGGCGGCCAGCATCTGCCGCTTGCACTCATCGCTCAGGGACGTCATGGCGTTCTGCTGGGCCAAGCGCATCTTGTTGATCAGTTCGGCAAGGTCCTTGTTGAGGAGCTTCTGGGTGCCTTCAATCTGCCGGGGAAGAGCACAGACAGACAGACAAAGAAACGGGTAAGCTGCAGGTTAACTCCAACAACTTGTGAAAGCACTGTTCACACCACTTATAAACGCCACCTCCAACTCCTCGAAACATTCCATCAATGGTGTTTCTGAAAATTTGTACACATCACTTGGGAAGACAGGTGAACTAATGCCAGTGTACAGTGGTACCTCAGGTTACATACGCTTCAGGTTACATACGCTTCAGGTTACAGACGCTTCAGGTTACAGACTCTGCTAACCCAGAAATAGTACCTCGGGTTAAGAATTTTGCTTCAGGATGAGAACAGAAATTGTGCAGCGGCGGCATGGCAGTAGCAGAAGACCCCATTAGCTAAAGTGGTGCTTCAGGTTAAGAACAGTTTCAGGTTAAGAACGGACCTCCGGAACAAATTAAGTTCTTAACCCGTGGTACCACTGTACTGGAAGAAGCAAAGATCACCAGTGTCAAAGCAATGATTCCTTAACATGAGCTTCATTGGACTGGTCATGTTGTGCGAATGCCTGATGATCATCTTCCAAAGCAACTACTCTATTCTGAACTTAAAAATGGAAAGCGTAGTGCTGGTGGTCAACAAAAAAAGGTTTAAAGACTGTCTCAAGGCAAATCTTTAAAAATGTAGTAGAAACACCGACAACTGGGAAACACTGGCCTGTGAGTGCTCCAATTGGAGAACAGCCTCTACCAAAGGTGTCCTGGGCTTTGAAGACCCCCAATCTCAGGACGCAAGGGAGAAATGTGCTGAGAGGAAGGCACACTTGGCAAATCCACACCGTGATCAGCTCCCACCTGGAAACCTATGTCCCCACTGTGGAAGGACGTGTGGGTCCAGAATTGGCCTCCATGGTCACTCCGGGCTCACTGTTAAGACCGTGTTCATGGAAGACAATCTTCCTTGGCTACGGGGGATCACCAAAGAAGAAGAAGACACCTTTTCAGCAGGCCCTTCTGATTTGAGTCATTAGGTTTGATTTGATTTATTAGGCTTCCACATGGCTTTATACAATGCAACCATGGCTCGCACGAGGGTCCTGTTCCAGAGGCAGCGCACATATGCAACACCGTGCATAGTCAGAAGTTGCCTGCTGGAAGTGGGAGAACCCTGCCTTGCACCACTGCCAGATGAAGAAGGAACCTAGAATCATAGAATCATAGAGTTGGAATAGACCACAAGGGCCATCGAGTCCAACCCCCTGCCAAGCAGGAAACACCATCAGAGCACTCCTGACATATGGTTGTCAAGCCTCTGCTTAAAGACCTCCAAAGAAGGAGACTCCACCACACTCCTTGGCAGCAAATTCCACTGTTTTTTGTTTTTTTTTTAAATAATCTTTATTGATTTTCTTTTATGCACACAAAAAGAAAAAAAAAACACAATATTCAACAAAAAGTCACTACACTTAAATACTATAAAGAGACAAAAAAAAAAAAAAAAGGAAAGATAAAAAAAACCGAACAAGAGGGAAGAAAAAGCAAGACAAAAAACTACAACATAAAAACGTAAAATTGTCGACTTCCTTCCCTACTGATTTCGGGTTTTTACATTCAGTAGTTATCTTTTTACCGCTGGTTTTGTATCTATAATTTGCACATCGGGAGTTTTACACTAAACCTGCTGTATTTGGTAAGTTTTTAAAATTACCTACAAAATAAGCCATAAATTTACTCCATTCTTCTTTTAACTTTGTATTTTTGTAATTTCTAATTTTTTGTGTCAATCTTGCTAATTCGATAAAGTCATGTAATTTTAATTGCCAGTCCCTCACCGTTGGGAGATTTGTACTTTTCCAATTTTGAGCGATTAACATTCTGGCCGCAGCTGTTGAATATTGGAATAAAATTTTATCTTTTTCTTGAATTTCTAGCAAATTCCACTGTTGAACAGCTCTTACTGTCAGGAAGTTCTTCCTAATGTTTAGGTGGAATCTTCTTTCTTGTAGTTTGGATCCATTGCTCCGTGTCCGCTTCTCTGGAGCAGCAGAAAACAACCTTTCTCCCTCCTCTATATGACATCCTTTTATATATTTGAACATGGCTATCATATCACCCCTTAACCTCCTCTTCTCCAGGCTAAACATGCCCAGCTCCCTTAGCTGGGCATGTTTAGCCTGGAGAAGAGGAAGTTAAGGGTGTTGAACCTGCCCCTCTTGGCTGCAAGAAGAGCAGAGGAGCGCTGAGTCTGAAGGAGGAAGAAGAAACCTGGATCCCTTGGCTGCAGAAGGGAGAAGAAAGGCCGAGAGGGAGAGGCAGAGGCAGGCAGAAGTTGCAGCTCCATTCCAGCTTTTTTCTTCTGCCTACACCTCTCTGTTGGTTTCTCTCCTCCTTCTCACAGCTGGTGTCTTCTTCCTTTGTCTTCCTCTGTCTGCCCCCTTCCACCTTCCTGCCTTCATCTCTCCCCCTCCTCTACTGCAACTGTCGCCTGGAAGGCCCCACTGCCACAGCCCAGCATGTAGGAATGGATCCGCGCAAGTCAAATGTGAGTGCATTGTACTACCCCAAAAAAGTCTCAAAGCAATTTGCAGTATATATACACCATATTTTTCGCTCCATGAGACGCACCTTTTTCTTCCTAAAAAGTAAGGGGAAATGTCTGTGCGTCTTATGGAGCGAATGCGTGGTCCCTGGAGCCGAATTGCCCAGGGTCAAAAAGCAGATCAGGGGGGCGGGGGGTTTTGAAAGAGGGAAGGGTGTGTTGAAACAAAGCCGCTGATTGTTTGCTGATTGGGGAGAGAGATAAGGGACTCTAGTGATAAAGGAGGCTGCCTGGGAGAGGGGAGGTAAAGACAGCGAATTTGCAAGGAGATGAGACAGTAATGCTAAAACAAGCAATGAGGAGAGAAGTTAGAAGAAAAGGAGGAGCAAAAAACTGCTCCAGCTAAGGAAAAGACACTAAGGGAAACAACAGGGAAGGGGATGTTGAAAGGAAACAGCTGATTGGCAAGTGGTCAGGGAGAGAGATAAGGGACGCTAGTGATAAAGGAGGCTGCCTGGGAGGGGGGAGGTAAAAGCCCATGGATCCTCAGGATTTTTGCATTGGGTCGCCCCAAATTCACCATCAGATCACACAGCATGTCCATGGCTACAGCCTGCACCCAAAAAATCATGCACCCACAGTTGCGTGGGGCCGTAATGGCGCAAAAACATGGTTACAAAGCACGGATCCAAATGGATCCTCAGGATTTTTGCATTGGGCCACCCCAAACTCACCGTCAAATCACATGTCTGTGGCCACAGCATGAACCACAAAAATCATACATCCACTGTTTCGTTCAGAATATTTTTTTTCTTGTTTTCCTCCTCGGAAAACTAGGTGCGTCTTATGGTCAGGTGCGTCTTATGGAGCGAGAAATACGGCACAATGCCATTGAATATGACTAAAACAGTACTGTTGTACCTTGGCACTGGGACCTGTTTTAAAGCAGTGTTTCCCAACCTTTTTTGGGCAAAGGCACACTTGTTTCATGAAAAAAATCTCGAGGCACACCACCATGCCAGATGGGGAAAGGTCACTTTTTACTTATGTAAAAAAAAATAAAAAATAGTAACAGCATAGAAGGTAATGGTTAGGCTAGCATCCCTCTTCCAAATATGCTAGGTTTTTATTTGCAGGGACTGTTCTACATGGGAAAGCATTCAGCACTGTCATTCTCCCATCTGCCATCTGAATTGGTACTATTCTGGGTCAACTTACTCTGCTGCATGTGTAGATGAAAATGGCACCAAGTGTGGGGGAGGGGCAGAACAGGTTTCAGATACAGGATATTAAGCATACACGTACTTCAGATTGAACTGGTTGCTTGCTTTGCAAGTTTTCATTTCCCAAATGACTGCCTTGGCAAGCGCAATACCTACCAGGCTCAACGCCGGTCTCGCGCTGCCGCTTCCCGCGCTCTCAAGGACCCGGGAGGAGGAAGGCGTGAAGGGAATCCCGAAGGCGCGAAAACCTCGCGCATGCGCAGGCCTTCCGCCTGCGACAGCCCAGTAGGCCGGCCGAAGCGAGCGGCGATGGGATGTGGGAGGGAGCTCGCTCGCCGCCCCGCGTGTGCCTATGTGGGGCACGTTACAGCCCCGTGACGTCAGCGCCACGCAGGCAGCCAGGCAGGCAGATGGCGAGAGCCCCGCGCTGGGCGGCCTCTCCTCGCCACCGCCGCCCCGCCTCTCGCCGCTCGACTCGCCCGCCTCCCTCCAGGCAACATCTCGCGCACACCAGGCAACGTCTCGCGGCACACTAGTGTGCCGCGGAACACCGGTTGGGAAACACTGTTTTAAAGGATAGGAAGGTCTCTGAAAGTGTTCCAGTCGCCTAGCCCAGTTGGGGCAGAACCAGTTATTGAGCCCAGTGGCTGACATCGGTTGAAAGGCGTACTGACAAAAATGACTATAGATCTATCAACCGCTCGTTAGTTCTTATCTGTGAAGTTACCAAAGGGAGGGGACGCCTGACACAGTGGAGCACAAGACGATGGAAGAGGACAGAGAACCACTCCCCTTCTGAAATCTCCTTAGGTCGCCCACATGCCCAAAAGAGGACCCACCTCAGTGCGTGAAGAGGCAGGCAGAGCCAGGAGGACTTCATCCACGCTCCCGATGAGCTTCCGAAGGGAGAGGCCCACATCCTGCAAAGAGGCAAAATCAAAGCATGATCAGAGACTCCCGTCAGCTCTTCTTCCACCCCGCCTCTGCCCAACCTGTTTGCATCAAGGCGGTGCAAAGGAATAAAAACAGAAATCAATACACTCTGGAGTTACCTTCACAACCAGGATGTACCGTTCTGGTGGGTGGTTGCTGACCTCGTTCTTCAGCTTCAGGACAGCCTTCACCAGGTCCATGACGTCACCATACACAGCATCATCCGTCCGGTCCAGGTTGGCCGTGGGGGTTGGCTGAAGCGAGAACTGGAAAGGCAGTGTGGCACAGTGGTTAGTGTTGGAAGTGGGAGACCAGGGTTCAAAGCCTTGCTAAGCCACAAAACTCACTGGCCTTGGGCTAGTCACAGTCTCTTGGCCTAACAGGGCTGTTGTGTGTATGTGTGTGTGTGTGGGGGGGGGGGTTAAATGAAGTGGTGGTGGGGAGAACAGTGTATGACACCTTGAGCTCCTTTGGGAGGAAACTCCAGCGGGTGCAGAATGCCGCGGCGAGACTCCTTACGGGTCCTCGCTGCGAGATCACATTCACCCGGTGCTATACCAGCTGCACTGGCTCCCCGTGGAGTAAAGGATCAGGTTCAAGGTGCTGGTTTTAACCTTCAAAGCCCTATACAGCCTAGGACCCTCGTACCTACGGGACCACCTCTCCTGGTATGCCCCACGGAGGACCTTACAGTCTTCAAACAAAAACATCTTGAAGGTCCTGGGTCACAGGGAGGTTAGGCTGGCCTCAACTAGAGCCAGGGCTTTTTTGGCTGTGGCCCCGATCTGGTGGAACGCTCTGACACAAGAGACTAGGGCCCTGTGGGACTTGACATCTTTCCGCAGGGCCTGCAAGACAGAGCTGTTCCGCCAGGCCTTTGGCTAGGGCACAGCCTGACTCCCTCCTTTGGCAATCCTCACAGAACTCTAGCCCAATGGTTGCCATTAATCTGATTTGAATTAATTTTATAATGAAATTGTCAGGGGCTCAGGAGCAGAGGCACAGGAAAGGGAGGAAATAGAGAGCGAGGGGGAGGAGTCCGAAGGAAATGTTAGCGATGACAGCGGTCCGAGGTCTCTGAGTCTTTCCAGCGAATCGGAAGATTCACAGAAAGGGGCTCCCATGGTCAGAGCAAGGGGGGTGCCTAGGGGGACACCCCAGGAAGAAGGGGCCAGAGGGGACTCAGAGAGCAGCAGTTGGAAATCAGGACCAGCTTCCCCACCAGAGCCAGCGGGAGGAGAGGAGTCAGGATTGGCCACGCCTCCATCGGAGAGCGAGGAAACGGTCAAGAGGAAGGTTGAAGGCTGGGCGCGCGCACCAAGTTCAAATGTACAGGAGGGCGGCGCAGTTGGCAGCCCGGATAGGGAGCCAGGTCCCAAAGCCCGCCGAAAGGAGGGGGAGGAGTCAGGGGGTCAGCGTCAGCGTCAGAGGAGTCCAGAAAGGAGGAGACCCCGGGGGGGCAGAAGGACCCAGAGGAGAAAGGAGAGACGGAAGAGGTGGGGTAAGGTTAGAGTCTTAAGCTGGTGTACAGGGGGTGGAGACTCAGATGGAGCTTCGCCGGTCTAGCCTCTAAGACGTAGAGCTGGGCGCTGCGGCTTGAAAATAGAAACTGTACTTCAATAAAGACTTTTGTACATTACTACCGGCTAGCGTTGGTCCTCTGTGAGCTGGGACCTGGAGCCAGCTCTGACAGTAAGCTCCATCTCCGTTTTGCACCAAAAACCTCGCAACGTGAGTGGACGCAGCGAGGGGCGAAGATTGGTGCTTCGCGAGCTCACAAAAGTCAGGCAAGATGACTACCGAACAGCAAATAGCAGCCCTACAAAATGCAGTGACACAACTCAACGCGGAGATACTCGCATCCAGGAAAAGGGAAGACGAAGCGGCTGCCGCCTGCAGGATCTCCAAGCCAGGTTGGAAGTGCTTACTAAGCAGGGGCAACCGGGACCCAAATCAGAGGGGATTGGGCTGGAGAAAGAGGAGGCAGCCTTGTATCTCATTTCGATGGGAATTTACAGCAGTACCCTAACTTCCGAGCAGACGTGCTGTTTGCGCTGCAACTGCTGGATAAAGACTTTAGAGATGAGCAAGAGAAGGTGGGGTTTATCTTATCCCATTTGCATGGAGAAGCTAAAGCGTGGCTGCGCAATCTGTGGAGAGATAAGGATCCGGCGCTCCGAAGTGCGGATGCATTCATTAAAGCGATGGATTCGTGTTTTTTATCAAATATAGACATTGATATCGCCAGAAAAGACATACATGGGCTGAAACAAGGGAGAGCCAGTGTAAGGCAGTATCATTCCCGCTTTTTTGCATTGGTCAATGCGCTGGGGTGGGAGAAAGATTCTGTTCCAGTCAGAGACCTTTTTTGGGAAGGCTTGAATGCAAATGTGAAAGACGAAATTGCAAGGGGGGAGAGACCCCAGAGCATCAGGAAGTTGTCCAGAGGGCGCTGACGATTGGGGTGCGCCTGGAAGAACGTCCATGGAGCAGAGAAGAAGGGCGTTGGGGACGCACGCCAGCGAGAGCACCTCCCCTCTTTCCAAGGATGCAGCGCGTGCGCAATCCACGCCTCCGCAGGGAGGGGGAGAGGAACCGATGGAGATTGGAGGCGCCAGGGCTCAGTCAGCAACCAGAGCAATCCTGACTCATCTCCTCCCGCTGGCGGTGAGCCGCCTGATCCCGATACCTGGGACTCCTCCCCCCTACTGCGCTCTGGTGGGGAAGCTGGTCCTGATTTCCAACTGCTGCTCTCTGAGTCCCCTCTGGCCCCTTCTTCCTGGGGTGTCCCCCTAGGCACCCCCCTTGCTCTGACCATGGGAGCCCCTTTCTGTGAATCTTCTGATTTGCTGGAAAGACTTAGAGACCTCGGGCCGCTGTCATCGCTAACATTTCCTTCGGATTCCTCCCCCTCGCTCTCTATTTCCTCCCTTTCCTGTGCCTCTGCTCCTGAGCCCCTGACAGACGCCTTCCGACCTTGAGGGGCTCATCTTCCAGCGATAGTATCCTCCAGGTTATCCTCACACAATTCCTCCCCCTGCCGTTGTGCTATCAATTTTGTAAGTGTTTTATTGGTGTCATTTAGAGATTCCTATTTAACTTTGTTTTGTAAACAAGATCATTATATACAGAAACACCAGCAGCAAATTGCTACACTATTATATCTGTATAACTCATTGTACGATACACACGTTTGATCAGAGTTCAAATGTGCTGAATCTTCCCAGCATTCAAGAAACATCAACTGGCTCTGGAATTAAGTCTGAACGGACTTAATTTCGTTCTTTCCTTTTTATGCCATCTGTTCTCTTGGAGATCCCTGCGTAATCAGCTGGTTTGCTTGTTTTTCTTCTTATTTTTATTATGCATTTTGTGTTTTTATATTGCAGTTTTAGGTGGTAAACTGCCCTGAGATTTGTGGATGAAGAAAGGTGTCAGGGGCTCAGGAGCAGAGGCGCAGGGGAGAGAGGAAATGGAGAGCGAAGGGGAAGAATCTGAGGGCAGCGGAGGGCAGAATGACAGTGACCCGAGAGATTCCATGAGCCTCTCCAGTGAATCAGAAGATTCCCAGAAGGGGGGCGCCGATGGCCAGGGCAAGGGAGGTCCCAGGGGGGACACACCAGAAGCAGGGGGCCAGCGGAGACTCCCAGAGCAGTAGCTGGAAATCAGGGCCAGCTTCCCCACCGGAGCGTAGTGGGGGGGAAGAGTCTCATAGGTCAGAGTCAGCGTCTCCTCCGGCAAGCAGCGACAGGAGCAGTATAACGGTCAGAAGGAAGGTGGCAGGCTGGGCGCGGCGCGCCAAGTTCAAATGTACAGGCGCGCGGGACAGCAGAAAGCCCGGATTGGGAACCAGGTCCTAAAGCCCGCCGGAGGGAGGGGGAAGACTCGGGGAGTCAGCGTCAGAAGAGTCCAGAAAGGGGAAAACCCCGGCGGACAGGCGGACCCAGAGGAAAAGGGAGCAGAGGAAGAGGTGGACAAGGCTAGGGTCTTAAACTGGTGTCTGGGGGGAGGAGACTCAGACGGAGCTTCGACGGTCTAGGGTTTCAGACGTAGGGCTGCGCGCCACGGCTGTCAACCCAACAATGAACTTCAATAAAGACTTCTGTATATAAAGAGGAACTGGCGTTGGTCCTTTGTGAGCTGGACCAGGGGCAGCTCTGACAAAAGGTATGCAAATTTTTATAATAATAATAATAATAATAATAATAATAATAATAATAATAATAATGTAAAGGTACCCCTGCCCGTACGGGCCAGTCTTCACAGACTCTAGGGTTGCGCACCCATCTCACTTAAGAGGCCAGGGGCCAGCGCTGTCCGGTGACAAAGCTGCAACTGGTGAGCCAGCGCAGCACACGGAAACGCCGTGCTTTCGAAGTGCTAGGTTGGCAGGCGCTGGGACCGAGCAACGGGAGCGCACCCCACTGCGGGGATTCAAACCGCCAACCTTTCGATCGGCAAGCCCTAGGCGCTGAGGCTTTTACCCACAGCACCACCCGCGTCCCTTAATAATAATAATAGGGAAGATGAAAGCCAGGCATAGCTTGCTTCAGGAAGACCTCATCACAGGCCATGATAGATGTCAGCCTTCGTCAACCTGGTGCCCTCCAGATGTTTTGGACTACAAAGCCCATCAGTCTCAGCCAGTACAACTGTATGGTGCTAGGAACAGTAGTCCAAAACATCTCCCACAAAGGCAAAAGCTACCTGGGGTTTGCAGACGGGGTTGATTACTGCAGGCAGCATTTGGGCTTCTGGTGTTCTTGGTGTTCAACATACATGGTGTTCTTGTACACAAGGCAGACCTTCCCATTCCCTCTGCATGGGTCCAGCTCAAACACCAGCTCCGCGAGTCCAAGTGAGGTTTCTCCAGCTGCCCCGTTATCTTTGGGGAGAAAGAAAAGGCTGGGCGAGGCTGAGCTTTGGATGCAGGGCAAGGAAAACTCAAACCATGCAGTTTGGGAAGCTGGGAGTCGATGGGACTCGTGTATAAGGTCACAGAAACTTTTGGTGGGGGCAGCAAGTGGGGGCGGAGAGGGGGACTCCCATGGACAAAGGGGCGAGGTGCGGCAGTATCTCCTTCATCGTCAGTGTCCTCCAAGTCAGCCAGCATGGGGGCACTGGGCAAGGTGTAGACAGGCAAGAGAAAACATTTGGTCAGTTTGGGTGTCAAAATGGTTTTAAGGAGTCAAAATGGTTTCAGGAAGGTTTTCCTGTGCTGCTCCAGACATTGGTACATTTATGAACATTTATTATATATAGGGACGCTGGTGGCGCTGTGGGTAAAAGCCTCAGCGCCTAGGGCTTGCTGATCGAAAGGTCAGCGGTTCGAATCCCCGCGGCGGGGTGCGCTCCCGTTGTTCGGTCCCAGCGCCTGCCAAGCTAG